CCCCCCCACCCCCGCCCGTGAACTTCTTGGCGCCCCCTCATATATTTCAGGCAGCACGCTCACCTCCTTAGGTAAGCGATCTCATCCTGACAAAATGATGCAAGAGATGCTTTTGTTAGCCTGGTTTTGCAGTAGAGAAAACAGAGATACAGAAAAGACACAGGCTCCATAAGTGGAGAATGATCGAATCCAGCGGTCTGAAAAACCTCAAAGCGGGTATTTGAAAAGTGTTTTAAAACTTGAAAAAAAAAGTGTCTAAGCTTCAAGCATTATTTTATTTTATTTTTTTAAACTAGATCCTCAGATTTCATGACCCTGAAACCAGAAATAGTTGTTGTCTGGTGACCAGGAATGAATTACATTAGAAAGTACTGAACAGAGTGGGAGAGCAGTGTGCTATCTGAATACTAAAAAGCATCTAGCCGTGTTAATATTTTAAGGGGGTAGAGTGGAGGGTGGGAGAGAGTTTATGTAGAAAGATTACGTAGTACAAAGGCTAAAATGGAAAGAATCTTGGCTTATTCAAGGGCCAGAGAGGTGGTCAGGGACTACGTTAGAAATTACTGAATAGCGTGGGGGAACAATGTGGATCATGCAAAACAGCAAGTTTACTGTTGGAGAGAGACTGGTGGAAACCCTGACACTTTCCCCCTAGTCATTTCTGGTCTTGGAGCTGACCTTACCCTCCTGGTTCAACAACAGAGAGGCCTATAGAGTGAAAAATAACATTAGGAAGTAACCACCTCTTAAAACCATCAAGATTTGAAATCAAAAGAGCAACATTGGCCCAAGACAAAGTCCACAGAAGGGGTCGGAAAGAAGCATGTATGGAAATGGAAACACAGAGAGGCAGTGGGATGAATGGAGTGTAACTAATGACATGAAACAAAGTTGTGTATAATTGTTGCATGGAAAACACGTTTGTTTTGTAAACCTTTCCCTAACTCCATAATTAAGAAAATAGAGACAGACTCACAATTCTTTTTATAGCTTTAAAACATATTCTTAATTTAATTTATTTGTAAGTAATTGGTAGATTACTTTTCATTACAGATGAAGTTATTAATTTTAATAATTGTCCTTTAATTTAATGAGTGAGACCCCAGCTGTTAAGAAACCTATGTGCAGGTTAAAGATAGCTGATAATAAGCCAACAAATATTATGTGGAGAGCAAATGTTTTGAGAATGATGACGGCAGTGAATGTACAAATGTGGTTTACACAATTGATGTATGTATGGATTGTGATAAGAGTTGCATGTGCCCCTAATAAAATGATTTTAACAAAATATGTAAAACATCAGCTTATGTTAAGTACTCTTCAGAGAAATAGCATCGTGTGGAGAGAAAATAATTGGTGGTTTCTTTAGGTTTGATGAGTAAAGAACATAGAAGCTGACATCGAAATGTTAAGAAGAATCCAGACATGTTAGTATGGTAAGGGAGTGGCGTAGAGGGTGGGGAAGAATTCCATGCAGAAAGACTAGGTAGTTCAAAGTCCCTAAACTAAGATGGGGAGAATCCAAAGCAGGGTGAGTGAGGAGAGAAGGTGGCAGATAATGTTTGACAGAAGGAGCACAGAGGTCTCATGACAAAGAGTTTGTAAACCAGAATAAAGGTTTTTGTTTTTATTATAAGTTTGATCAGAAGCCATTGGGTTTCTTTACTCAAACAAAAGCATAATTTGATTTGTAATTTAAATAATATCCTCCCTTCCTGTTCAATTTTATTTAAGGATCTTCCATCCAGTGTCCCTTAAGAAAATCTATTAAGATTAGCCTGTGGTACCCCCTAATCTTCTGAGTTGATCTCTTTGCCGTGAATTTAACTGGCTCTGCAGATCCCCTTAGAAGTCGTTTTGATTTGACCTTGCTCTCTGGATCATATTGGCAAATTCAAGACTCATCCCTGGTTAAGATTCATTCAATCAAATTGTCTTCATTAGCTTCAATATTTCTTGAAAGAGTGGTGGAAAGATCAGCACTTTGGGCTAACAGATCCCATCAAACTTGCTGCGGCCACTAGGCTAGCATCACCTTGAAAATGCTGGCCCCTGTGAGATCTCAACTTCAGTAGCCATCCACCAGTTTCTGAACCTCAGTAACAGTTTCTCCATTTGTCCAGGATGATGGTCTCTCCTCTCTTGGCTCGTCTGTGATGTCTTCCATACCTTCCTTAAAAGACTTGACCCATCCAAGAAATGTAAACTTGCTGCAAAACTTTAATGATTTGGGAAGATGTTCTCAAAGTTTTCTGTTTAGAACTTTATGTTAACTCTGATTTCAAAACTACTCTCTCCCTTTCTTTGAAAGCATCCAATGAGACTAAGACAAGTATTACTGAGAGAACTTGTCTGTACCCTCCCACTCGTTGCAGACCCATGGTTAAACACAAGAGCTTTGGGATAACATGCTGCATGTATGAAGTGGAACTCCAATAGCAGTTCTTTGGACTTACCCTTTTATATGACCAATGCTTCAAGGAAGGCACTAGGAATTGAATTTTTAAATCCTTGTGTGAAGATCTATATGTCTATAGAATAAGTCTCCCTGTCATTCATAGAAGTGGAACCATGAAGCCAAAGTGTATTCTTGTTTAAATACTGATAAATATTATCAGATTTCTCTACCTCTGTGCAGGATTACCTGTTTCTGATAGAGCCATTTATATTCCTTTTCTCAGAAATAGCAGCCTTGCCCATTTTTTCCCACTAGCTAGTTGATTCTTTTCTTATTGATTTGCATATACTTTATATACCAGGGGAGGTCAATGTTTATCTTTATTATGCATTGCTAGTATTTTCTGCCTGTATTTCAATAGCTATATTATTTTCCCCATGTAGAAATGTGGTAACATTGTCACTATTTTTAAGATTCAAGAACATGTTATGCTTATACAAAACATTCCTACTGCAATAATATAAAATAATTTCCTCACACATTCATTGAATTCTTTAATCATTTAAATTTTACTTCAATGTCTTGAGCTATAGACATTTTACCTTGAGAAACACAGAGAAATCTAATTTTTCTAGATGACTATTGAAATTTCTAATTAATCTCTCATCTTCTCACTGATTTGGAATGTCATCTTGATCATAATGTAAACCCCATCAGCCTGTTTGTCTCCCTGTCCAACTAAGCTTGCCAGAGTTCTCCATTGGTTTTGCTGATCTAATTAATTATGAAACACTTCCCCATTTCTTAATTTATAAAAGCTCACTTATTTTGCTCAATAAAGTTTAGGCTTAGGGCTAATTTTTTTCAGGTATTTTCTCATAAATTGTTTTCTCAGTAAGGCTTTTTTTCTGACCAGCCAATTAAAATTGGGCCTCCTCTCTGCTTCGGCTTTACTTTTCTGTATAGCTCTTACACCTTTTTAGCACACTATGTTTTCCATTGTTTGTTTAGTAAAGCCAAAACAGAGAGGAGGCCCAATTTTAATTGACTGGTCAGAAAAAAAGCCTAGCTCTTGCACCTTTTAGCACGCTGTTTTCCATTGTTTGCTTATTGCTTCTCTCCCTCCAGACTACATAAACTCCACAGAACAGAGGTTTTTGTCCGTTTTTTATTAGCATACAGTAATCAATTAAGACATCTGTATTCCACCTTTTATTGTGATTTGTGTGAAGGTTTCTAGAGAAAATCAGTTTTCTATTCAACAATTCATACATACTTTGTTTCATGCCATTGAATGTAATCCCCACAATGTAATCGCACTATCTATATGTGTGATTTGCCAGTTCTCATTTGCTCTTCTTTCTGTTTTCAGAAGTTTGCCCTTAGACCAGTGGTTCTCAACCTTCCTAATGCTGCGACCCTTTAATACAGTTCCTCATGCTGTGGTGACCCCCAACCATAAAATTACTTTCGTTGCTACTTCCTAACTGTCATTTTGCTACTGTTATGAATCGTAATGTAAATATCTGATATGCAGGATGTATTTTCATTGTTACAAATTGAACATAATGAAAGCATAGTGATTAGTCACAGATAATATTTAATTATATATTGTGAAATATTTATTTCTAATGACAAATAAATGAAATTTTGTCTAGAAGCATGGTGTAGCATGGGTTAACAGCCTTCATGCCGGGTACTCATATGTGGGAGTGTCTGCCTGTAGCCTGATCCTCCTGGAGAAGGCTAGAGGAGCCGTGTCTCAGTTCCTAAGACCATTGGATATACTTGTTATAGGCTTAGGCGACCCCTGTGAAAGGGTCGTTCGACACCCCCCCAAAGGGGTCGTGACCCACAGGTTGAGAACTGCTGGTCTAGGAGGGTCTCAGTGCAGGGACTGGTTGTTGTGTGCTGTTGAGTTGATTCTCACTGAGGGTCTCTACATGACAGCGGAGAACATCTTGAGGGGTTCCAGGCTGTAATAAAAAAGCAGGCGCATGGGGACAGCGAATTCGATGTACATTTAAGATAAAATGACGACTCCCTGGAATGACCAGATACAGAATGAAGCAGATATGCCTGTTAAATTGGATAGGCGTGCCCTGAAAAAGTATAGGCGAGAAGCCTATCATCGGGCACTTGTGATTCGCAGCTGAGTCCTGGAAAACATAGTGTTTGGGGATTGATATGGATGACACACCTGTGCTGTCCCACTGCCCCGGTTACAGGTCCCTGGGACTTGAGCTGACTGTGGAGAGAGTAGTGTCTATGGGCTATCCTTAGGAGCTGCTCGGCTTTGCTTAAGATTCTACATTTCCCACCAGGGGACTTATCTTTAACACACTACATGGAAATCTCTTTAAATTGACACCTCTGGACACCTTTTGGTCCATACCCACAAATTTATCTTCATCAGGGGACCAGAAACTAGAGAGCAGCATCCAAATCAATGTATCGAACAGGAAGCCACTGGGAGGTTTTGCATTCTGCGCACGCTGTTCAAGCTCCCAGAGACCTACTGACCTGTTGGCCTGCCTAGTCACTTTTAAAATTAATTGATCCCGATACGCCAGCTGTGAACCATGGGGGCCTCTTCATGCCCTATGCAGTGTGTTCTGGATGTAGGCGACGCTGTTGATCAGATTTATGACCAGGATTCCCTTAAGGACAAGACAGCTGAACATCTTGGAAAGTAGGCAGTCAGAGATGGAAAACAGTCTTGTTTCTGAGCTGGATGAAAGAAGTAGGGAAAGTGTGATTTGCTAATAACAGTGACTACAAATACACAGATAAAATTAGGAGTTATCCTTTTGATTTCCCAGATGGCCCCAAGCCTGGGGGCTCCCATCGACCATGGCAGTCCTACTTTGGCCTGATGTTGGTTGGTGGACGCCCAGAAAACACTCTGTTTTCGAGAAGGTACAGTGATGTGCCAAGGATACTGAAACTGGCAAGCTGACAAGCAGCTTGGCACACCAGCCCCCTTTAGCCTGTCCTAGTCTATCTACTCAGGAGGCTCATCAGATACAATCTGTGATCTGTCGGGAGCAAAGAGTGAGGGCGTTTTGTATACTGGAGGTCACATTTTGGGGGGCATTTTAAAATCAAAGAAATGACCAGGGTGGGGGAACGTTCTTGGTGATCCTGGAGTTTGCACAGGACCTGCAGATGTGTGGAAGGAAAAGAGTTCACCGTTCAAAGAGCTTCAGAGTTTGCGTGATTTCTTGGCTGAACTTCACAAGTACGTTGGCGGCAGCAGCAACGATGCCCAGATATTAGGTGCATCCAGGGACGCATTAAGGAAGTAACTGTTACAGTATATGTTGTTAGACTTAAATTTCTTTTATCCCTATCTAACTCCATTTCCCCTTACAGCCATTGTAGTTCTCTTTCCACTGAGTTTTGCAGGTCAGAATGACTGGGCAAGATAATTGTGCACATAAGTGGTTAAACTGTCACCAGAGGAACATCTGTGGCCAAAAAAGATTATAGGCCGGACCCGGCTCTAAAAAGAGAATGTTTTTAGAAAAATAAGTCGTAAAAGTAAAACTATGTTATCTCTAGCAGACGAGAAATAAGTTGTAAAAGTAAACAACTGTGACCTTGCAGACTGCCCGCATCTTGGTATCTTGTGCAAACGTCCTTCACCACCCCATGCTCTACCGCCCTCGCTTTGCTGGTTTGAAGTGTATAAAGAGAAGGAGAAAGTTTTGCCTGGCGCTGCAGTCTTGATCCTGTGTGGTCAGGCTGTAGTCCGAGTTCGAACTTGTCTGTTTCTGTCTTTCAACTTTTACCTGTTAAATTTGCTCTTCTCTAACCTTTGTCTTTTCTCTAATAAACTTACTCTTAGCTTTTACAGGTTTGTGGTCAGTGGTTCTTGTTGGGCACGACTCCGTAACATTTGGAGGCCCCAGCGAGATCTGCCCACC